GTAAAAAAAAGAAAGAAATAGAAAATAAAAATATTTTTTAAAAGGAATTCTTATTAATTATTTTTATTTTAATCAATTAAATAAAAATTACATAACTAAATAAATAATAATTTAAAATAAATAAATAACTAATTAAAAGTAAGTAAATAATTCTAAAGTAATTTTTTTAGATTAAAACTAATTAAAATAATAAATTTAAATTAATTAAATAAATTTAAAGTATATAAACAATTAAAAAATCATAAAAATAAAGAAAATGTAAAAAAAATTCTAATTGATTTCGTAAACACTTTTGTAAGAAAATGTAATTGAATAGAACTTCTATTTAACCGATTAACACTTTCTGATGATTTTTAAATCACTAATATGTGTTTAAAAAATTAAAGAAACTAATTGCGGCGGTTTCTGAGTTCTGACTGTTAGGACTATAAAAAAAAATTCAATCAATGTTCATTTTATAGTAGTAGTTCATATCAATGTGGAAATAAAAAAAAAAGGTAAAATTTACACCTTTCTATTTCTCACATCACACAACTCATGCTAACCAAACATACCTCTAATTTCATTTCTTACCCATTTCTTCTCCTTCTACTCAATTTCTTTGTTATTTCTATTATACCAAACAAGGGGTAAAGGAGATAAATAGGTAACTATTTAATAACAATTGCAAGAGATTGAAAGAGGGAAACATCTCAACCTATTCCAATTCATTTACGAATAACTAGGGAAGTATCAGGTGATATAACAACTATACATAAAATTAGGCCAAACTAAATGTCATGCCCTGCGTTGTATAATAAACTCAGACATGCATAATGCTAACCTTACTTATACAGAGTGGTTCAACCTTTTAGTGACCAATCCCATCGACGTTAAAAAATTCCACTAACTTTTCCACTGAGAAACACACAAAGTTTCATCTTCCTCTCTACAATTTCTCAAGCAAAGAGGAAAATATGAGAATCACATTCTCACTTCTTACCTTCCAACCCAAGCCACTTGCTCTTTGAAATACTGCACCGCCAATGATGAAGACATCTCAAAACACAAGTCCAACAAGTTTGACGACAAAAACAAGAAACATGCATAGTTTATGCACCATATATATGGAAAATAATTTTTGTGTTCTCTAATTTTTACATTTTAATTGTTATATATGAAACCATTTTATGAATGCAAATACTTACCACACCCTTTCAGCCACTGAAATCATTAAGCCCAAACAATATATAATTAAGAAAATCATAGCTTATGTGCATTTGATTGCCAGCCAAGAGCAATGAAAGTATATGTGCTAAACAGTAAAGATAGCGCACCAATTGGTTTTTACTCAGACATGATACATGATTTGAATGTGTTTAATTTCCTCTTTCACTTGTGCATAAAGGAATGGAAAGAGATTTTTAAGCTATTCATTGTACTCTTGTAGTGCTTATGTATTTGGAGACACAGTTAAAATATTAATTAATACACACATACATGAGTCCTTGCCTTTAATTGTAACCATGGCCTAATACTTGGGTCAAATGAGAACTTGGTTTACCCTCATCTTATTGAGTTTTATTTTATCTTGTCCTTTTTTAACCTTCACAAAAATATAAATGCATAACTTTTTTTTTTTTTTTTAAGTTAATGAGACCATAAAGAAACACAAATTAAACTATCGGAACAGAAGTTCAATACAACTTATGATGCAGTAGATCTTTATGTTAGAAAATTGAGGATGACAACCTACATCATGAATTGAGGATGAGAACAAACGTAGGCAAAGACACTGAGCTTGTAAGGGGACACTACAACTTATTTATACCTTGTCAACAAGAGGATCAAGGTAAGAACCCACCACAAAATCAATCTTCATCTACCCAGCCAAGTATCCATCCAGCTACAATTATATGAAAAGAAATCAATGTTTAGCTTATCACAGTTGCATAAAGTCTACAACATTTAAAAAAAGAAAAACTTGTTAATATTTTTCCACACCCAATCGATTCCTCCAGAGATGGCCAACCCCACCATTACAAAAGTATACATATCATTTGTGATCATCCTGCACAAAATTGCCATACAAATCAACACAAAAACAAACATTATTTAATTAGAAAAACCGTACACAAAAGAAGGAAGTACCATCCAAGAAGAGTACCCGAGAAAAAGAGATGAGATTTGGCTCATTGAGGAAAACTGAGTGGTTAGAGTTGGAATTGGAAGTCGAATTGAAGCGATGATGCTAGTGTAGTGATAAATTGAGATTGAGATTGAGTTTAAACAAGAAGACGACGTTGGAGTGGAGACAGAGAGGAATGGCGGGTGGGTTATGCAATGAGGAGAAGAGGAGGAAGGTGGTTTTTGAGATCAAGTTTTGAGCTATGGTTTGCAGGGACCTCAATATCACCATTCTTCTCATTTCTCTTTATCAATGTTCAAATGTAATTAGGTTTTTCTTTTCTCCCCTTAGGGGAGGGGTTTAGGGTTTTAGAGATACACAAGAGGGGAAAAAAGTGCTTAGAAGTGAAACTAATTTTCTTGTCTTTGCACAAACTTTTCTCTATGTTCACATTAGAAGTTGTTTACTCCTACATTTATTGCTAAACCAATATTATTTGCACCATAATTAGTATATACTAAATAATACCAACAATATAATATAGTATATATATAAATAAATCTTGATCCTTAAAACATGTTAAAAGATGTAAAACCTATTTTAAGTATAACTTTTTTTTATTAGATCAACTTATTTAAAAATAAAGTGATATGTCAAGTCATGACTTTATATGCAAATAAAAAATTGAAACTCAATTCTTAGTTTGTTTGCACATACATCCTTTTAGCATTGTTGTTATTCTGGTGGTAAAATTCAAAAGCTATTACTTATGCCTTCTATCAACTTAACATGGATTGAAAGTTATCAAATGATAATGTTATGCTAGAATCACATTGAAATCACGGTGTCAACATGATTTTTTCACCATATTAAAGAGTAACTTTAAAGTCACCATATTTTTATATTATGCTCCATCACTATTCCAAACATGTTATATTCATGTATTGTCTATGTATATTTAATGATTGTGAATACCTTACTAATATTTCTTTACATAGATAAACTTTTCAAGATTTACTTGTGTATATTATAAACAAAGTATTTTTGAAAAGAAAATGATTTATTTGAATTCATCGAATAAAATAAATATTTGTAATAGTGTTTAGAAGGATTTATAAAAATAATTTATGATATATCTATAAATTATTTTTTAGAATGGTAAAAAGTTATTTGATTTATCATGTCAAACTAAACTTAAAAAAAGTGGTCTAAAAAGAATTAGGTTAATTTAGTTTAACCTGATGGATTAATTGATCTATACTAACTTAATAATTTGAAGGTTTAAAATTTATTAAACTTATTTAATATAGTGTTATATGTGTTTTTCTTTATCAAAATTAAATAAAAATAAAACAAGTTAATTTAACATTTAAGTAATAAGTGACCTATAAAAAAATTTAGGTTGAGTCGACCTATTTGATAATTTTATTGTCTTTGATTTATTTTAATGAGTTACACAAAATAATTCCTGAACACTATTTGCAAATTAAAATAATATAATATTTTATTTTTTATTATAAAATAAATTATACATGGGTATTATATAATTTAATCATAACAAAAACTCAAATAATACCCCAATTTGAGAGAAGTTTCTACCGTAGGCCTAAGTACCACTACCAACCAAATATAGATACTTAAAAAAAACTCGAATGAAATTTAAAAAATAGAAAACAGTTGTTAGAAACTAATAATAATGCAAAAAAAAAAAAAAAACTGGGATTAATTTTATATACAAAAGTATAGGGGTCATCTGGTAGCAAGTAGCGACTAAAGTAAATAAATAATAAACTATTCTCGTCCAAGGTTTAAGAATAGAATGATTTTTTTTTTACCTTATTTGCATCTAGCTTGTTCTTATTTTCTACCTTACTAAACTATCTAATGTATAAGGTAAAGTAACACAACGGGCTTTAAGACAAAGAAAGAAGGGAAAAGTTGTCAACCTATTTTTCTTATTCAAACTTCCAAAGAATTTGTAAAATATGGTTAGAACAACTTGTTATCCTTTTTCATAATTACCTTAAAAAAAAAAAAAAAAAACTGAGTTCCTTTACTTTCTACGTGTCAAAGAAAACCAACTAAGATTAACCATGTTAAAAAAATCCATTTTGATGCCCAAAACTAAAATAAGTAATCTTATTCCCACGAGACACAAATATAAAACAGATCACAGATCAAAAGAAAAAGATAGAGAACAGTTTTTGCAGGGTTTCGACCCTGAATAAACGTCCTACAGTTTCCCAGTTGCAAAAGATAGAGAATCATCATTCTGGTTTTCTCCAATTCTTTGTGCATGCGAGTTGTTATGGTGATTTGGTTAGGTATTTGGCAAATTTCATAAGAAATTTGTACAAAAGGGCCTAGCCAGACACCAAAAACGATTTGATAAAAATGAGTTGCTTTCCATGCTGCAAGACAAATAATAAATCAACAACCTCTTTCAAAGGATCCCCCAACAAAGCTTCCAAAGGAAGGAGAACATTCAAATCATTAGCTGCAGCTATGTCACTTAAAACAGGTGTGTGGCACGATTCATTTTAGATATAGACATTATTAATCTTAATATTGCATGATAATTCCTTCCTCATTATACCTTGAAAACAAATCCATTTTTTATCCTTTTTAATGAATTTTAACCCTTTGGTCTGATTGAGGGAACGTTTATAGCAGTTTATGTTTCAAATCAATTTCTGTCATCCTCTTAAATGTGATCAGACTGAGGAGATTAGCCACATTTTTCTTTAGGATATAAAGATGGTTCATGAACATTTTGTTTTGAAGGATCTGTCACCAATTAATACCGTTCAAGTGTTTAATGTAACTGTATTTCAGAACCCCCAGCTGGAATTCTCCCTTGATAGTAATGAATTTTCTAATTACATGATCAACATGCATGAAATTTCATATTAGAATCCAAGGCTTCGAATGTAAATGTGAAAGGATCATTTGTATTATAATTAGGTTACCTCAAATTGCAGGTAGCAGCAGGAACAGACAAATAGATGCGGAGATAAGAAAATATGGATCTGCAAAAAATGATATCAAAGTATTCACATATGAACAACTTGTTGAAGCCACAAACAACTTCAATTCTGATTGCCTGTTAGGCGAAGGTGGATTTGGGAATGTTTACAAAGGATTCATAAAAACTATTGATCAAGTATGTCTCTTACTACTCTCTCAAACACACATTGGCATGTTTTTTCTTATCTAATAACATATTTAGCTTTTTACAAGGTTGTGAAGGTCTCATGTTAAATATTTGTTACTTAGACTGTAGCTGTGAAGGTACTGAACAGGGATGGAGCCCAAGGAACACGTGAATTTTTCGCAGAAATACTGATGTTAAGCATGGTTCAACATCCAAACCTTGTGATGCTCATTGGTTATTGTGCAGATGGTGCTCATAGGATTTTAGTTTATGAATTCATGGCCAATGGGTGTTTGGAAAGTCACCTTCTAGGTATGAAGACCAAAAACATTATAGTTAAGGGCTTAATTTTACTGAAACACATACAAAGTATGCAACACTGACTTGAGTTTATTTATCTCAGAAATAGGTGAAGATAAGGAGCCTTTGGATTGGAAGACTAGAATGAAAGTAGCCGAGGGAGCAGCTAGGGGACTTGAATATTTGCATAATGGAGCAAATCCAGCAATCATATACCGTGATTTTAAGTCATCTAATATATTGTTAGATGAAAATTTCAATCCAAAGCTCTCTGATTTTGGTCTTGCTAAGATTGGTCCTATAGAAGGCCAGGAACATGTGTCAACCAGGGTGATGGGAACCTTTGGCTACTGTGCACCAGAATATGCTGCTACAGGTCAGCTAAGCGTGAAGTCAGATATTTATAGTTTTGGGGTTGTGTTTTTGGAAATAATCTCGGGTAGGAGAGTATTTGACACTAGAAGAGCTACAGAAGAGCAAAATTTGATCGACTGGGTATGTTACATAACATACTTTATATTTTGATCTTTATTTTCTTTAAAAGAATATGTTGTTTGAGGGAGAAATGATTGTAGTCTTAAACCAGCACATGTCCACGGTCTTGGACATCCTGATCAATTTCCATGTGACATATTATTGAGTTTGATTAACTTTTTCTCATAAATTGAAAGTTTTGGCTGTGTCACAAAAAGATTGACCAAGACCATGACTACATAATTTCTAGGTTTGATGAGCATTGATGTCTGTCAATTACAATTAGTCTTGGAACATGGAATTTATGGTTCTTGTTTTTCATTTGGTAGGCACAACCTTTGTTTAACGATAGAACCAAGTTCACTCTAATGGCTGATCCTTTGCTTAAAGGTAAGTTCCCTGTAAAGGGTCTCTTTAAAGCCCTTGCAGTGGCAGCAATGTGTCTCCAAGAGGAAGCTGAGACACGACCTTACATGGATGATGTTGTGACAGCTGTTACACACCTAGCAGTGCACACAATTGAAGAAAAAGACATAGCTGGTGAATCTTTAAAAAGCGCCGGACATGTTGAATCTTTTAGAGTTGCAAGTTTAGCTGAATCTGAAAGGACTTAGCTTCATTGATCAGACACAGACTAGGATTACAGAAAAAATTGGAAAGCGCCCAATAAATTGTTTCACAAAGATGGAATTGATTAACCGGCCGACCCAAGGGTAAGGCTACTAAAGCTTTAAGTTTTAGGCCTTTTAACAAAAATATATTTGTTATTAGTTTTTATAATGTAAAAAGGTCTTATATATTAAAAAAAAAAAAAAAAAGGCCTCATATGTTAGAGAGAAAAAAATCTAACATATGCCTTTTTCATTTTAAAAAATAAATTATCTCTCATTATTTGCTTTAGACGCCACGTATCATTGGGTTGGCCTCTGAGTGTAATTCACTAATTCTGTTTGTAATTTATTCATCCTAAAGTTAAATTTTAGGATGCAATTTTTTCCCTGTGGGACTGAAATGAAATCTCTTTAATTCATTTGTTTCGTTATATGAAATTTCTATTTTTATTTCACTTCATCTTTGAGCATTTGACACCATCCAAAATTGCAAAACTTAGTTGCATTTTCTCAAGTGTTTTTGGTGTTATTTTTCAATTGAAGGTTTGCACTAAAGATCAGCATATATTACTGATCTGAAAGTGTTATTCTGACCAAAGAACAAGTGCCTGTTTAGATTAAAGTTTGCAAACTTAAGTTTGAATGAACTTTATTATGTAAACTTAGCAAAAACAACACTCTTTTGTTTTCATTTCAAACTGAGTTTCAAGAAAAAATTAGACAAAATTCAGTTTATAATTGTACTATCCGTACTGCCGAATCACCTCTACGACAGATTTCCGGTAAGAACAATAATCAAATTCGATTGAAAACCAAAAAAGAAACTTATTCAATTTTACTTTTTGAATACTTTGGAGATCTCCTAACTGAAAACAAAACATGTCTCAAAAGGTACCTTTAAGAAATGGATTTAAGTGTTGTATAGTCGGATCAACATGAATATATGTTCCTCAATAACAAATATTATATTTTTTTCTAAATGCATTTAGAATATGCCGTTTATTTACTGCCACCCTTCATTAACTATTAGAATTTTAAGGTTTTAAACTTTGCTTGCGGTTTCGTTGCATTTTCTGAAAATGCGGGAAACTATAGACAAATGCGACTAATGCAGTTACACCAAAAATCTTGATGTTGCATCCGATAAATTACAATTATAAACCGTTTTTTAAAACCTTGATTATAACAATAATTTTAAACTGAATCTGAGATCTGAAAAACCAGCAGTACTTACTATAGGCATATGAAACACAGGATATGACAGAAAATGAAAAACATGAGCCCAAAATTAAAAGTTGCCTGAGTCAGGCAACATAACATGTAGCATAAAATGAATATGTTGCAAGTTTTGGTTCCCCTCAAAAAGCTGTGCAGACTAACTCAAGTTGTTGATATCATTCTTGAATCTTGAGGATCCTGTAGCTGTAACCAGGAATCCTGTTCAACTGATTCCTCTCACTCTCAGCTACATCTGCAACGGAACATATTTTTGGGAGGAACCCACTTGTGCCTCTTCTCTTCCTCCTCTTCCAAGTTGTTAGCAACACCCAGAAACTAGGCCTAGACATGCAATAGCTTCTGCCAGAAACCATGTCCATTTCCACAAAGTGTTGCTGTGGTTTTTGTGAACTTCCTCTTCTTTCCAACTCAATCTTTGTGAAGTATTCAATTTCCTTCCTCACTAGAGATCCAATAGTGCCCCTTGTCCCTATAGCAACAGGAGCAGCCATTTCATCTGCACTAGTTCTTATGTTATGCCACTACTCTTTATATATATATATATATATATATATATAT